TGATCAATATAAGAGTTACATATATCATATACATCAACACTTTGAATCTTCATATTCCAAAACAAGTATCAAAATTTTTTTTTTACTAACTACTCAATGTCCTTCACAAGGCTTCATTTCATAGTAAAACATTCTTTGCACATGCCTCCTTTAAATCCAAATATCCAATTATTCGCATATCGATTTGATTTTCAAGTATTGCATATTCCAGTCTGTCACACCCAATTGTATGATCCAAGTATATATGATTGTAGAATCCTCTTTTCCTAACATGATCCAACACGTTCAATATTATCATCTATTCGCTTCACAAGACTTTCATACTTTAGGTCTTGTGCTACTATCCTATTCACATTTAATATCACAGCAGTACCTAAACAACAGTCTATAATTTATCTCTTTTCTCGTTTTTATTTCATTATTTGCAACCTCAAATATTATCTTTTCAACATTTTTAATACTACTAACATCTTCCTTTAAATCCTTCTTTAGACTATCTGAATTAATCATCATCCCATTCTCAATGACTTCATCACTATATGCCTCTTCGCACGTTCAATCTTTCAGGCCATTTCTTCAGTATGTCAGATTTTTTTGATTATTTCTTCACTCACCATCAGCATGTTGTCAATTTTTTCCTTATTCATCTTGATTGAATCATCATTCTAGTTGAATCCATGTTGAGGTAATTTCAGATCCTACTCAAATGCTACCTTTCTTACTTGTTTGCACCTTCATTTTCATCATGGCTAAATTCGAGATTATTCTTCTTATTCAGATCTCCATTTTCAGCAGAGTTCAAATACTGCTTAGCCATCTTATTTTTATCTTTTTTAATACCAATTTCATCATAATCAATCATCATCACTCTACCATCTGAGCTCGATTCTCTAGAAGCTTTAGGTTTATCCTTCATCTTCGCTCTCTCTTTATTTTAACAATTCCTACTATCATTCATTACCCTTTTTTTTCTCAATTTATCTCCTTTATATGCCTACGTCTCTTGGTACTATTATCACCTAACTTTACAAACCTTATAAATCTTATATCGTACAATTTCAGGCTTCTATTACCAAATTTCTGAACCAAACAATCACAAGCCAAGTGTTCTGGTTTTCTATATTCATAATACAACCAAGGTCTATGACTATACTGTTTCTCTTGCACTACCTTTAAGCTTCTCACGACTACAGCTACCATTTCAACAACTTTTTCAACCAATGACATTAATTGTTTTTCACTTTCTATTTTTCAATTATCAGCACTTTTATCAACACGATCGTTTATTAACCTTACACTTGAACTCAACCTTTGTTTGCTTTAATTCTCTAACATGTTTTACTAGTATTATCACAAAAACTTTCACCTTTATGTTTAATAATCAACCACGTAGTTTTATGAGAGTATTGCTTTCTGCCCAGGTTCTTATGTCACAGAGTACCTTGGGCTACCATATACTTCTTGATATCTAACTTTACTTGCTTGGCTATTTTCACACAGGCTTCATATTATACAGGTTCTTTCACTAATGATATGTACACACAGATATCAGTTTATTCACTAAGATCGATTTTTCACTAAGCAAAACCCTTTTGGCATTTTCCTTTTTGGATTGATGCCTTATATTTTATTACTAATTGCTATTGATTACTACATTGTTCATGCACTATTTTAGACTTTTAATTACTTTCATGCATCATACAAATTCCGGTCATGCCACTTATGCAAACCCAATCTGATCACAATACCTGACTCTTGGCTACGAATTCCAAAGCACCAAATTTGACCACGACAGTAGTAAAAAAAGTTTTAGTTTTGCGAGTTTTTAACTAAAGAAAGTTTTTCCAAGAGTTTATCATATCTTTCTATCTCCAAACTTCTTGAGTTTTTAACTAAAAAAAGATTTTTCAAGAGTTTGTCATATCCTTCTATCTTCAAACTTCTTGAGTTTTCTTTTCTACTTGCTGTTTCCAGAGACTCCTCTGGTTTGAATGCTGAACACAAAGAGGAGTCTATCTAAGAAGATCTAGAAAAAGGCTTAACCTCTTTGCAAACTGTCCAAAACACCTGCTTCTCAGTATATCACGTTTAAAGACTTCATCGACAACAGTTTGTATCAAGAAAACTTCAAGTTGTTGTTAACTTCTGGTCTTGAGTCTTCAACTTGCTTTTGGTACTAGTTGGTCCAAGTGATCATCACAGAGAATTAAATAATTTTGCTAGTACTTTCTTTATATAAAATATATTTGTAAATTCTTTTTCTCTTTCTAGCCCAAAATTGCTACAAAAAAATTTAAAAAAGCCAATATAGTGTTTATAAAAAGTATATCTGTATATTCTTTTTCTTTTTTTAATCTAAAGTTGCTACTAAATATAGTGTTTATTTTTTTTAATTAGACGGTCCTGCCTATTACTCTTTATTTGGAAGTACCAGAACTTATATCAACAGGAAGATATAATTTTCTATACTATATTCTATGCGAGTAAAGATCAACTCGAGTTAAACTCAGAGAATGACCTACCTAGCAGCAATTGGCTTTACATTAGATTCTCAACTTTCTGAGAATATAAACCCTCTAATCCTTAGCCCTAGCAGCTGTATTGCTTTATTAAAAGAGCCAAATTAATGAAAGCACAAATACAAAAAAAAAATAAAACAGAGGTAAAGGAGATACAATAAAAGATACAAACAAGAATAAGAAAAAAAAGGAGATAAGAAAGTATCAAAAAAAAAAACAAAAAAAAAAATTTGTCTATCCTAATGATCACTATTATAAGCCCGTGAAAGACTTGTAAAAATTACATACTATTAAATAAAATAGTTCCTACTCTAAATTTATCTAAATAGTATATAGAAGCTTAAAACCAGTGGAAAAATACTTCTTCGACTATATAACATAGAGTCAGTACTCGATCCAAGTCTCGAAATATTGCATCTTGTTGTATTCGAGGCACATGCCTTGATATATTTGTTGTTCTGTTATATTGATTTAGAAAGTAAACAATACTAACTGTTTTGATACACGTGATATCAATTTTTTGGAGGGGTAAGCTAAAATACCCACTTTTACAAAAATTCTACGAAAAAAAGTGGTGGACTAATAAGAGTATATAAGGTTTTTCTTGTAAGAGTTATAGTTGTATAGACTAGTTTCTTAGCTTCTACTAGTATTTCTGTTCAAAAACCCACAGTGACATTGCTCTCAAAATATTCTTTTGGTCTGGATGTTTAAAATACAAAAGAGTTCACTAAAAGTTTGATCTAAAGACACAGCCCACTTGTTGTTTATACACCTACTTCTTGGTGTTTCACATATATAAAGTTTTGTCGACAACAAGTATATTTGTATGGTACTAAGAATATTTAGGTGCTACTTTGTTGCTTTCCTATATCATTTTTCTGTAGTTCGATTTATTTTGTTGTTGACCAAGGGATCGTTAAAAAGAGTTTTTGCTAAATATAGCATTTATAGAAAGTGAATTTACAAATTATAAAAATAATACAAAGTATGTAGATTAAATATAATTAATATTTTTAAAGTTTTGAGTTATTCTATAATTTATTATACAAAAAATTTATAAAGAACTTACAAGCTATAGTAATATAAAATATATAGATTAGTAAATATTAATATCATCTAAAGTTTCTTTTTGATCTAAGATTGTTATCAGAAGAATTTAAAAAAACTATTACTGTATTTATAGAAAGTATATTTACAAATTCTTTTTTTTCTTTTGATCCAAGGTTGCTAATAGAAAATTTAAAAAAATCAATATAATATTTATAAAAAGTGAACTTACAAACTATAGAAATTATACAAAGTATAATAAAGTATATATTTATTTGTATTTATGCTAAAATTTAGTTTACTAAACAGAGTATAAATCAAAAAAAAACTAGCAAAAAGACCAAAAAAAGATTAATAAAAAAAAATTAAAAACAAACAAAAAAACAAAATACAAAAGTATATATTTACTAGTGTCTATACAAAAATCTAGCTCACCAAGCTAAATTTAAATTTAAAAAAAAGACTAGCAAAAAAATTCAAAATCAAAAGAAAAAAGAATAAAGAAAGTATATATTTAAAAGCATCTATACTAA